TACTCTTCTGTATCTCAGATCAGGACCGCCCCTACACAAATGGCTCGACACTCCTATATAAATAGGTGGAACAGAGCATACATCTCAAGCGATAGTCCAACTGTGAAAACATGCAGTGGACGCACCCATCACGTGGTCTCCTCACCTGTTGCTATTGTTTATGCTTTTTCAACAGTTGCTAAACATTATCGCCGATAGTTACTCTCTTGCATACATTCGTCGATTGAACTGCATTTTGCTATCGTGAAAAGAATATCTCACACTTTTTTACTTTCAGAAACAATTAATGAAAAATGTCCTCAAATTTACCAAGAATTGCTGCTCGCCAAGCCAACAAAATTTCAAAGGCGAATAATCCATTCATGTCTACTCAAACGTAAGTTCTTCACAGTAAACTAATGAAAGGCATTTAAATGCAGTGTATGGAACATGTTTAGCACCGATTACAATAGTGAGAAAGCCCAAAACGACCGAGTAGACCCAGTGTTGGAGACGAATGTACCTGAAGGAGTTCCAGTAGAAAAGGAGGACTTTTCAATAGCGAAGTTTTTCGGGATGAGGTGGGCGCAACGCCTATCGTTTGGAGAGTTCGTTGTTAGACTTTGCTTGATATATGGTTTGACAGCTGGATACATAAAGCTTTATAGAGTCTGATGGTTCCGGTAAAATCTAATCTCGTAGTAATAATCTTAAGAATAGTTATCTCCAATTAAAGTGAGTATGATCTAAGTAATCATTTCAGATCCTTGGACAAGGCGCTTATCCGCAACGTGAGAAGATTGATAGAAGAAGAAAGAGATCGTCAAATAGAATTTGAACGTATGCGTCAGCCACGTTTGAATTACTAAATCCGTGTGTGTAGTCTTCAGTTGCATGTCCTATCCCCGGGGACACAAAAGGCAGAGAATACATCGTCGACCCAAACTATCGATCCTTTACAATTACACGATTTGCAGTTGCATTTGTTTCTAAAGTGACGGATTTATAGAGTAGTCGGACTCATCCGTTTGTTTCCACCCTGATTAGCCTTCGTTTGTTCCCCACAATTAGTTTGTACTATTCTTTGTATATACAGCTATTCGAACTCTAGCAATTCCCCTGCCGAGAATATGGCCATTACATAATGTCATATATTGTGAATTTTGCTCACTCCATTTATTTTTTCGATTATCCATGTTTTATTACCCATCGACGCGATTTAAGTTATTTGTTGACTTCCCTACTATCCTCCTGATCCAGATGAACCTATGGGTAACATGTAACCAATAAAATCTAGAGAATATCACAGCTGTAAATGTTCCATCATTTTGCAGAAGGAGATTTATGAGAAGGATTAAGCTTTGTTTTGGGAAGAAGCACAGGCAGAGCATTGAAGCGCGAAAGGGCATTCTCGCTTGTTTTGATGCGCTCGGCTGTTTTTGGCAACACTCCAATCTATTTTTTTTATCGACATTCCATCCCTCGCAATGCGATGATTCCAACAGATTTAATTAAAGCACTTACTGATGATCCTGCTTTTGTATACTTTGACAAAAAAAAGTTTTTTCACAGATCCTATGACAGCTGCGAACCATTCGACATATGTTGGCTATTTTAGATTTAACTGTTTTTTTGAAGTGATTCCGCGGCATTATGGCTTCAACTTATTCCATAAATCATGCTCCAGCGTTCGAATTCACCTGTTTTTAACGCGAAAAAAGTTATACGAGACTTTTTTCCTGTTTCAACAATAACTTGTTTGCACTAGTAAAATAAAGTCATATCACAGAGTTTTTGCTCATGTCCTTGGAAG